ACGAATTTGTTTTTGTGATCTTATTTAGTTGTCTAAAGTCTACACAAAAACGTTTTGTTCCATCTTTCTTATCTACTACCACGATAGAAAAACTCCAAGGTGATTTTGAACGCCGCACTATGTCTGCGCTTAACATTTCATCGATTGCTTTATCTACGATCAATCGTTTATTCAACGGAGTTCGATACGGTTTCATTTTAATTGGTAAATGGTTACCTGTATCTATTTTAATTTTGATCGTATTAGTATGCCCTAAGTCTGCATCTGTTTTAGCAAATAGATCTTGATTTTGCAAACAAAGTTTTTCAATCATTCCTCTGTCTTCTGGGGAAACATTGAGTTCTGCTTTCAACTCTCTTATTTCTTTGTCTTTTTCTTTATTTTTATCAAGAACCGAGATGTTAAACGATTGATCATCTACAACATTTATTCGACCAATAATGCACCCTCTCTTGAGTTTGAAAGTTTTATTGGTATTGTTCACAACTAAAACTGGTATTTTACGCGATGATTTTGTTTTCGCAATTATGTTCCCTATCATAAGACCTGGTTGGTCACTAATGAAACCACGGCCAGGAACACGTTAAGTTCCAAGACAGTACCGTTGTCAGAAACCTTTAAAGTTAAGCACTGAAAATGGCTCGTTGTCATGAATTTACAGGTGAGGTTATGACAAATTCTGTCCGGTGTCATTACTTGAGAAGACAGGTCGTGAGCAGTTTTTCATTTTTTAAGTTAAATGATTTCAACCAAGGTCTGGGGAACAGGACTGACACCCCTTTTGGTGTTGTATGAATTTCAGCCGTTAAAATGAAGTAATAAAAGAGAAGTTTGCGTTGGCGATATTAAACCCTGGTGAAATCAATGTTTAACGTAGATTTCATCATTTTCCTTCTGAGATGTTATATTTTTTTGTAAATAGAATATTATACATATACCAATTGATGCAGTCAGTATCAAGAAATGTTATAAGCATTTACGGGAAAAAAAACAAATTAAAACTGAAAATTTTGTTTTATTATAATTTATTATAATTTATGTCTGTTGTCATGACAAGATACGAAAATTCAGTCCGTTGTCATCGGTCCGTTGTCGCTACTTTACTGTACCTATACACTATGAAGGAGGTCGATTTTAGTTTTTTTTTAAATGATTTGATAAATTTCGAACATTCCTTCAATAAATGGATGAACTAATTAGTCATAAGAAACTAAACGTATGCTATTTTCTATATTTGATATAATGTTCAGCTTTTGTTTGTCATACATATGGGCTTCAGCCTTTTTCCTTAAAAAACTAATTTCAAAATGAAGGATGAAATATGCACGCTAACTCGCAATTCCTGCCTACATTCATTTTATTAATGGCAATTTGGCCATAAAATCGTTTTTAATACAAAGAACAATTAAGTGGTAATTGATGAATTGTTTTGATACCAGCGCTAAATAGTGAATTATCCCTATTTTAAGCGCTTAAACAAGATGTGTTTGTGAAACACTGATGCCCCCGTGTGGCAACATAGTGAAGATTAAACTTTTCTTAGATGCAAATTTAATATAACAGTACCCAAAGTAGGGTATCCTAACTGGAAATACAATTGTAAAACATGAAAGCCCTATCACCATCTGTTCCCAAGTTATGGCCAGGCTAAAGTTTTTTCATAAGTACATTAATCTTCAAGATCAAGGTCAGAAGGTCAAAGTTATTGGCATCCAATAAAAAGTCTTTCCACAAAGATCACGTTTGAAGTATGGAAGCCCTAGCCCTAACCATTCAAAAGTTATGGTCAAGGTTAAAAAGATTTTAATAGTACATTAAACCCCAAAATCAAGGTCAGAAGTTCAAGGTTATTAGTATTGAATGAAAGGTCTTTTCACAACAATTACATATGTAAAGTATGAAATCCCAAGCCTTCACTCTTCAAAAGTTATTGCCAAGGTTAAAGTTTTTTCATAAGTCCGGAAATCTCCAAGGTCAAAAGGTCAATGTGATTGGTATCCAATAAATGCTCTTGCTACAGAAAATACATATGTGAAGTATGGAAGCTCTAGCCCAAACCGTTCAAAAGTTATTGCCAAGGTTAATGTTTTTTCCTAAGTCCGTATTTATTGATCAGTCTGACTAAAACCAGCCGTTACTATTTCACTTCTAACAAAGTGAAATAGTAGGAACTAGCTTTAGTCAGCCCGTTTTATTGATAAACTTATATGTTAAGAAAAAGACACCGGACTAGAAAAACTTAACATGTACTGACAACGGACATTTTGCTTTTAAATTGCGATTTCTCAAAGCCTGCTATCAAGAATAGGCTGTCAGTTGCCTAACACATGTAAAATTAAGTTTTTCTTCATATTTCAAAATAAAAGGACCCTTTTGATAAATTTTACGAAATATTAAATTTTCAGGCTGACGATCATGACATTACACATGGGCATGTGATTGCAAAGCAAACTCCTCTTTTATTACTTCATTTTAACGGCTGAAATTCATACAACAAAAGGGGTGTCAGACCTGTTCCCCATTGCAATGTCAAACATTGGTTGAAATTATTTAACTTAAAAAATGAAAAACTGCTCACGACCTGTCTTCTCAAGTAATGTCACCGGACAGTTTTTGTCATAACCTTACCTGTATTTTCATGACAACGAGCCATTTTCAGTGCTTAACTTTAAAGGTTTCTGACAACGGTACTGTCTTGGAACTTAACGTGTTCCTGGCCGTGTAATGAAACCTTTATCCAATGCATTTACTTTAACAACTTTGTTTTGAAAATTTGTGTGAATTTTATGTTTTGCAAAACAAACTGTCGCGGATTGAGGTCTTAAAGTAGTTTTCTTTGAAGCTCTCAAAATTGATGCAATGTGAACATCTTCAACCATTGGAACATATGTTTTACCAATACGTAAACTGCCAAGATCAAAATAAAGTCTGACACCATTTTGGACTAACCAGTCTCTACCCAAAATTAAAGACCTGTTTATATTTTGAACAACATAAAATAGATGAGACATTGTGAGACCTCCTATAAAAGCTACAACAAATTCAATTTGAGTACAACCTTCAATTTTCAAATCAGCGCCATTTACGGATTTCAAATTCACTTTTGGTTTTGAAAGTTTAAAAGGATTAGAGAGGGACCAATAAACATATTTGAACTAACCAATGAAACAGCGGCGCCTGTACCTATAAGTGGTCTAAATCTTCTTTTCCTTTAAATAGCTCCCCCCCAAAGGTCCCATTTTGGGCGGACCTTCCTAGTTTAACTCTTCCCAATTTTCTTCTTCAGCCTCTGCTGGTAGGGCATTAATAGCTTCAATTTTTCTCTTTTTATAAGGACAATCAGGACTGTAGTGCCCTCTTTTGTTACAGGTCCAGCATACAACTTCACTGCGAGGTCGTTTTGTCTCAACTGCTAAAACTTTCTTTGGGGTGAATGTCTTTTTGACAAACTATCTTGGTCGCTGTCCTTCGTTATGTCTGTTTCCCCTTTTATATCTGTAATGGTCAACTTCCATGGGTTCTCCCGTGAAAGTTGCCGGGGCAAAGTAATTTCTCCCAGTTCTTAATTGAAACCTTTGTTGTAAATTAAATTCGGCTCTTGCAGAATTGATTGCATCCTGCATGGTAGCAGGATTATCTCGCATGACCTTTATTTTTAATCTGTCTGAATACAGACCAACGACATAGAACCCAACAAGTTGGTTTTCTGTGATTCGCATGTCTTGAGCACTTTGATATGCTTCCTCTGCTATGGAGAGCAACCGTTCAGCAAAGATTTGTACATTTTCAGATTTCTCTTGCTTAACTTGTCTCAGCAGCATAAAAGCATGCTGCAAATCTGTAATTTCTGCAAATCTCATGGAGAGTTCTGCCTTCAGGGTATCCCATTCTACCCTCTGATTTGCCTTGAAATACCTTTCAATAAAATCACTGACCGCCCCTGTACTAGTTTTGAAAGCTATCATTTTTACATTTTCATCGGGAACCCCCTCTAGAAAAGCATGTTTTTCAATCACTTTAATCCATCTCTTAAATAATTTTGGATCCCCATCAAAAGGTGTAATTTGATTAGTTCCCAAATTTTGATTTAAACTGTCCATCTTTATTGAAAGACCCTTTACAGCAGTTATAAATTCTTGCTCAGACATTTTTACAAGAGATTATGGCAGAGAAAATAAATACTTACAGAACGGAGAAGTTGCAGTTTTCAAATTCCAGTGGTCACCCTTTCGAAACCAAAACCAAATCCTGGTCACGGCACCAAATGAACGTATATAACACAACGACTTTGGATACGGTTATATATATATTCATTATGTCACCGTTGCACAATATAAGACGTCATGCATATACAGTTAAAACAAAGTTGTCAGCACAGTTACAGTTCTTATTTCAGAGTTAGTACTTGGTATATCCACTGGAAGCCAGACTACTACAGAGGGGCACAAAGTTCGTATAGTGGTACGTGTGTAACGTTTGTCTTAATTTCTTGTTTTCTCTCTAGATCTGTCCTCCGCCCGTCCAATCTCCGAATATATATATCTTCATATTTCCAATCGTCAGATCCTGGGATTAATTATTGGAAAGTTCCTGTACATTTATGAAATTGCTTCGATCGATTTACTTGGAAATTAATAAAGTGTTCCATTACAATTTTGATTGCGGTCCGTTATGTTATCAAGTCATTTCCCAATACGTTTAATTATTTAGATACCAATAAGGAATACTGACCACTTCGTTCAATTATGATATTTCATCAACGCTGAACCATAATATTTCACATTAATATTAACACCAATATTGACTACATCAAACACATAATTAGTAAATAGAAATAGAGTGCATAAGAACCTAAATAGTTCTCAAGGACATATAAGGATTATTATGCCTTATACACATATGTCCTTATTAATCACAACATATATTAAAAAGTTAATATATAGTTTATTCATATGTACGGTATGTACCAATAGTGTTACAACTTTCAAAATTTGGAATTCTTAAACTGTTAATCTCTCACAAACAAATGTCCTTTTGTCCGAACAATCGATGTCATCCCACGTGTAGCTTTTATAGTTTACTATTCCTGCACAGTCTTGATTCCTATCGTTGTCGGGATCCTCAATGCTCCAGTTGAAAAGAGGAACAGAATCCATTGAAGATAAGAACACCCATTTTCCTTCCATAAAGGCATCAGTTATCCCGAGTAGAATATCTACATAAAGTAAAATATTATTTACAAATATATTTGTAACGGTTTGAGTTTAAATGATATAAAAAGTATATAAAATTTAATAATTCCGAAAAGAAAAATGTTTTTGCCGCCTGTCAACACATAATAAAACTAGAAATATGTCCATAGGACATGAATGCCCAGCCGAGGGTATATTAGTAATGCAAAATGAAAATGTGTATTAGTGTAAAAAATTTGATCAGAATATCTTGAATAGTGATGCAGTTGAAATGCTTACGTATGTATCAGCATATGAAGTTTGACACTAATTTCATTAAAATGAGGTAAAGGTCAAAGGAAATACCAAGGTCATAAATTGTTGATGCAGTTGAAATGCGTGCAAGTTATAGTAGAGAAGGCTTTTCAACAAATTTTTCAAGTTGCAACATTGGTATTGTTAAATACACAAAAGGGTTCCTTACATTGTTTTGTACACAAAAAGTTTTGACCAAGCGAAATAGAATGCCTTCACTCTACCTGAAATAACAGGGTCAAATGAATGGGGAAAACTAAACTATATTCAATAGTTTTAACTCTCTTTGACGATTATTATGAAGAAAATTGTCATGTTTTTTGTGTTCGCGCTTTTTCGATGCAACAATTGATCATCTTATTTGTGTTACTAAGCACGAAGGGGAGCGACCGAGTATAAAAATTGAAATAGGTTAGAACTGAGAAGGTGGGTAGATTTCACTTTTTATTTTAGTTAAATTTTTTTATTATATGCAGTAAACCGGTGTCCGCAACTATACAGTAAATAAGTTTAACATTGGTGCTAAATTTTAAAACCACCGGATTTTATTGAGAGAAAGAAACACTTAGGAAATGCTAAAAAATGCGTTGCGTGTAAACAGTTAGATACCCCGAGCCTGCTCTAAACAAGTTTCAGCAGTGAGTTATCGTTCATAAAACCAACCCCTAGCGGCAGTTGAAAGGCCTAAGTAGAGTTTATTTGAAGTTTATAAAAAAAACAGTATCAAGATATTTCAGCCCACCCTTAAAGCGGATCTCTTACACCTGAATTTTTGTGATGTTTGAAATTTTTGACAGTTTTTCAATTTTCAATTTCTTTTTTCACTGTTTTCAGATATTGGAGAAGATCCAACCAGCTATTCTCAAGAAAATGCTGTTTTAGTTTTTTCTTTTGTCTATTTTTGTAAATTTAAATAAATAAATAATCTTTGAAGAGAAATTTAAAACACTGGGCTTATGAAAATATAGATAGGAGGGGTTTTAACCAAATAAATAAAATATTTTAAATATTTCTAAAAAATAAATTGAAATACTTTGGAATCTTATTTTATCGGATATGGAGCCTGTTATTATAAAGTTATAAAGAAATGCATGCAACAAAAATCAGTTATACTTTATAGGTGTAGAGATCCTTCTTAACTAAAAAGCACTTGTTTTGAGAGAAAACAAGATGGCGCTAGTGACAAAAGGGTAGTTGCGACTCGGGAGAGTAAAAAGGAATGAAGTTGCATTTCTGTGTGATTATGTGAGTGTAAATTTACAACCAGTTAACATTTATATAACACTATGAGGTAGAACCCTCTTTAAGCCAAAAAGTTTACTATTTAGTGTGGTTTCTGTGCTTTTTATTAATCCTTGTGTAGACAGTTGTATATGAGAACTATATGAGAACTACTCATGTCAATAAAACAATTCAATTCAGTGAAAACTAAAGTTGTGGGTACAAAACGTAAACATACAAGTTTCAGTCCTACAGAAAGTTTAAGGAAACATCTCGAAGAAGATTTAGGTCGTCGTCTTTACCTGACTTAAAGGATCTCTGTGATCAATCTGATCAATTTGATTTAAATACTGATCTTGGAAAAATGGACGAAAAAATGAATGGGTCAACCTTTAACACTTCGGTAGATGACCAATCTACTCAGTCCACTCAAAATACTACAGATGATGCATTTATCTATTTTATCGGGTTTTTCGCAAGGTGAGCAAATCAGTTCTAATGAAGGACAACAACCATTCATTCAAACTAAGGGTCAAATATTTAGTCTCACTGAACTCATATTAAGCTCCATCTGTAAACAATATCTCGCGATCCTGCAAATATACATTTTCTATTATTATTGTCCGGCGACATTGAAATTAACCCTGGACCGATTGGTGCTTCTATTCATAGTTTAGATATTTTTCATCTTAATATTAGGAGTATTAGAAACAAAATAGAAAGTTTAACTACGTATGTAACTGACTTCGATATATTATGCTTTACAGAGACACATTTGGACTCTAGTATAAGTAATAGCGAACTTTCAATTTAAGGATTTAATTCAATATTTAGAAAAGATAGGAATTCGCATGGAGGGGGAATTCTTGTTTATATATCAGAAGCTTCTGATATTTCCAGTAAATTAATTTTAGTTGGAGATCTTAATGTAGATTTTTTAACATTCCTCGAACACACATCATAAACGAAATTCTGTTAAATACAATCTCACTAACACTATCCATGAACCCACTGTTACAACGCACTTTGAAAAATTACGCACTTTGAAAAAATTTTTCAAAGTGCGTTTAAATTTGGGACCAGGCTAACGCACTTTGAAAAAAAAAATAATTTTTTTTCAAAGTGCGTTAATATCGACCATATTAACGCACTTTAAAAAACTGCAAAGATTGATCGATATTCATTCAAATAATCGGTATGATAAATAACAGATCCAGTAAATGGTTTGATAATTTTTTCATCATAAAGTCACTGTAGGACCTGAGATATCGACGTTTTAAATATTTAAGGGTTTGATAAGATTAAAGGGAAAATTAAAAGGTCTTGAAAAAAGAGTGACGATTGTTTAAGTTAATTAATTCATTTCTTCTTTTTTTTAATTATTGTCTTTGATAAGTAGATGTAAAGGTGCATAGAGGGCACTAACAGAGGACAGCTTCAAGCAACTTAGCTTTTATCATAATAAAAAGGGGCCAATTTTATCGTTCAAAACTATGAAAATTCTTTCTCTCTCATACGTTTTACTGTACTTAAAAATTTCTAGTTTTCATCTGTTTTGAATAACTCATTTATTATGGAAAGTTTTCAACGTCATATATGTACCAGTTAGGTAAATACATAATTATTTGAATGCTTTGAGTATAGCATAGACATCGAGACTTGGCGAAGGGCCAGGGGAGGGGATTGGGGCTAAGTCCCCCAACTTATTTTGGAAAGATATATACATCGTATAAGCATTGAAAATGCAGCGTACCCTTTATAAGTTTATTGCTCCTCTCCCCCGTTTGTTACCGACACCTATGTATTGGAAAGATAAAGATTTGGACTGAGGGAGCTTAAACCCGTCTTCTCCTCTTTTCGACGGGAGTAAATCAATTCATTTTTGAGGTTAGGGTTAGGCTTAGTTTTTTGAAAGATAAATAACAAATAAAATCTTTCCATGACTAAAAATAATTTTTTTTCAAAGTGCGTTAAGTGTCTCCATGGTAAAATATATTGATGTAGACTCTTAACGCACTTTGAAAAAATTTTTCAAAGTGCGTTGAGATGGTCCCAAATTTAACGCACTTTGAAAAAATTTTTCAAAGTACGTTGATTTTGTCCCAATTTTAACGCACTTTGAAAATGTTTTTCAAAGTGCGTTGCCACAAGCCACTCGTATCACGGGCTCGTCGAACACACTTATTGACCCAATTTTAGTCAACCCAGATGTATTACTTCTTCACTCCGGCGTGTTAAATACAGAAAGTACAATCAGCGATCACAAAGCGACATACATTTTCCTCAAATTTACCGTTAATCTAAGCCAATCTTATGAACGCAAAGTGTGGGTATATAAAAATGCAGACATGGACAAACTAAATTCACTCATTGAAAATACCGATTGAGTGAATCTCATTTGTTATGCACAAAATGTTGAACAAGCAACGGAAAACTTCTCAGTGACATTTATGAACTGATGAATATAGTTAGACAAAGTATACCTGAACAATCTGTTATTATACGGCCTAAAGATAAACCATGGTTTGATTCTGCATTGTGCAAAACTCTTCGAACAAAAAATAGACTTAATCGAAAAGCCCAAAAAAGCAAAAAAGAATCTGATTGTACAAATATTAAACAAGTGAGAAATAATTCTAATAATACGAAAAAAAAAAATGCAATTGAAAATTACCACAATAATTTAGAATTACACCTTACGAATGCTAGGAAAAACAACTCGAAATTATACTAGAAAATACTGAAAGATGTTTTTAAAACCAAAATTGCCTCTGATATTCCACCATTACAATATATAACTGATAGTGGTCGTACAGATATTGCTTATTCAAACAAAGAGAAAATAGATGCACATAATAATTATTTTACATCTGTATCATGTGTTGTTGATAGTGGGTTAGAATTACCTGAGGTATATCATGTATGTAACAGTGAAATTAGTAGTGTATGTATTATCGAGCAAGAAATAATTGATATTGTATCTATACTTCCTACAAACAAAGCTATTGGTCATGATAATATTAGTCATAAGATGTTAAAAAAAGCAAAGTTTACTATTGCTAAACCTCTTTGTTTATTGTTTAATATATCTCTAAATGAATGCATTTTCCCCTCTGCATGGAAATTAGCAAATGTACTTCCTCTTTTTAAATAAAGAAGATCCTTCTGTGATGTCTAACTACAGACTAGTGTCATTGTTGAGTTGTGTTGGGAAAATCGTGGAAAGAGTTGTGTTTAAATATATTTATAATTATTTTCATGACAATAATCTTTTTTATAAATACCAGGCTGCAGCTGGTTTTTTCCCTGAACAGTATACCAGCTGATAGAAACATAAAATAATATTGTTAAAGCTATTGATGATTGTATATTTTGCTGCATGAATTTTTCTTGTCTGTCAAAAGCATTTGATCGTGTGTGGCACAAAGGTCTTTTATTCAGCTTACGACATATGGGATTACTGGTAGTTTGTATAAATGGTTTGAGAATTAATTAAATTGTCGGTACC